AATTAATTCTAACAAATATATATAATAAATAAACTAATTCTAATAAATATATATATATTAAATAAATTAATTCTTATAAATATATATACAATAAATAAATTAATTCTAATAAATAAATAATTCATATCTATTATTATCTATTTGTAAAACGTAAAATAAATTCAACAACAATATTTTAATAAATATAATCAAAATAATAAAACGAGAGAGACTTAACACATCGAATAGATTTTTCCCTGAGAAACGAGTCAGACGACCCTCGATCTTTGAAATTCTCGCGAATGGCCTTACATTAGGCACCCCTGTCCCCCCTCTTTGTCGATGTCTCGAACTTATGGTTAACATCGATAAAGGAAAATAGGGAAGAGTAGTGAAGGAACGATACGAGAACGAACGTAAAGTCGATAATATAAATGACATCTAGATGTTGTCACTGAGTTACTATTCCCCTCACAGTCATGACATCAGAGATATATATTATAATATAAAATACTATTAAGAGTGGAAAAGAGGGATGGGTAGTGGGAAAGGGACGGGAAGGGAAAGGGGGTGGGGGATGAAATCTTTCCTCGATATCGTCGTGAATGAAATCTTACGAGTACTTTCGATCAAACAAATACAACAACAACAACAACAACAAAAATATTTTCTTAAGATCAATATTTACATGATAAATAAAAACTAGAGCTTTCGAATTATTAACATTATTGATGTTTCAATTTACGATGAATTTTTACTATTATGGAGTCGTTTGTATTGACGCAATGCAGCATTAGATGAGCTTGCATAATTTTGAGTGACACATCGTTGTACTTCATTCAAATCGTTAATTCTAAAAATACAAACTTATTTTTATAACCTTCAAACTACAAACTGGGGTATATATTTACCCCAAGGGTTTTCTAATCCTAAAAATTGTTTTGATAGCAATAATCAGACTTTGAAGTATATGAATTTTATTGTTTTTTTTTTCATGTCAAAGAGAATTGTGAAGAGCAAATTCAATTTTACTTAAGTTTAAAACCTTAACCTACAACTACGGGCATAGCCCGTAGTACGATGATAGGCTTAGATATAAATATTAACGGCGGGTCTTCTTAAGATTATAAATATTTGTAAAAATTTAATATAATAAATAAAAATATAAAATAAAATAAAATACAAATTTTCGAACGTAAATCGTAGGTTTGGAGATTAATCGATGAAAAATCGATTTAAATAAATTAAAGTACTGAAAAATGATCAAATCTTCATTTAATTTAAGTTAACCTGAGGTATATAGATATCTACCCCACTTAGTAGTCCTAAGGTTAAGAACAAAAAAATTATATTTAGTTATATGTATTCATTTATAATAATCAAGATAACCATAAGAACTTCAGTACGTTACTTCTCATCTCATGTAAAATATATTTACGTTACTTTACTTACCCCTTCGTGCCATGTAAAGTTTTTTTTCTTTCTATGTTTTTAACGAATAACAGAAATATTAAGATGCTAATATTAGATGTTATCACTCTGTATATTAAAAAAGATATGAGTAATTATTAGAAACCTTAGCAAAGTAAATTATTATTTACATGGGAAATTAAATAGGGGAATTAAATTATTATTAATGGTATCGATCCCGTCATTTTTAGTCAAACGTTCATTGCATTCATGCAACGACGAGTTAAAGGCTTTTACCCTATTCTCAATAAATATCGATAAACTCATACATAAACGTCTCGCATATACACACACACACACACACACATTCAGAAAGATATCCTGGTTGTCATGTAAATATTGGAGTGTCGCGTCAAAATTAGCTTGCGCCGAATCGACGTTAACGGGAAATCTAATTCGCAAAAGGATCGGTCTGTTTCGTTTCCAATTTCGCAACTCGTCGGTTTATATTCTTTCTTTTCTTTCTTTTTTCTTGTTTTTTTTTTCTAACAAACCCCGAGTACAGGGGCAAACGCATTTGTCGCCCGATGCAAGAAGCCTACGGAAAATATCGCGAATATCGTGGTAAAAGCAATAATTTCAAACGAATTTTATTGGATATACCATTGGGAAAGGGTGGTGGTAGAAGGGGTGGGGGTGGGGGGTTGTAGACGATCAAACGTTTGATCGCGAAAAAAATCATCCGACTCGGAACAATAAGCTGTCGATCGTTTCTATCTCTCTCTCTCTCTCTCTCTCTCTCTTTTATCCTTTTTTTGTTTTTTTTTAATTCGAATATAGGAAAACACGTCTAAGTATCTCAGAACGTGAAACGCGAGATAGAATGAGAAAGAAACGAATCATTTGTTGTTTCGTCAGTTTCACACTACAATTATTATCGGGATTGAAACATTCGTCACCAGATATTAACGGAAAAATTAAACATTGATGATGAATTTACATTACCTGTACCACAACACCAATCTTCGGGAACAAATTCAGGGAGAACATTTATTTCTTTGTTCGAAAGCATCGTAACGACATCCAATTAAGCGTTATACCAAGCGTAATACAATGAATGCACTCACCCTGATATATATATATGTGTGTATACGTGTACGTGGGATTGATTATTTAAAAAAAACACATATATATATGCAAAAAAAAGATAGTAGGGGGGTAGGGTAGGAAAATGAAGTAAAAGTTGGAGAATGAAAACGAAACGTGGATTAATATACTATATATATATAAAATATAAAACACATATGTAGCATTCCCTACCACCTATCACAGTGTATGTTAAAAACACACAGACATGTTGCTAACGATCTCGTTAGTTTTGTACGTTGTGTATATCATTTGATCGAAGAAATGCAGAAACACGATGACGACGACGACGACGACGATACGACGAATTCGCGTTGTGAACGTGACGTAACGTAAAAAAAATCGTCACCGGTCGCGTGTTAATTAACACGGGGGAATGGGTAGGGTAGAGGGGGGGGGAAACGGGGGTTACTTTTTTGTTTTAATTCCAAATCTATACGTTGCTTCGATTTATTATACATATACGCACAGATGATTCGTTCGAATGATTTGGAAAACAAAAAAATATAGTTCGTGTGTGTGTGTGTGTGTGTAAGAGAGAGAGAGAGAGAGAAGGAACGTATTTTGCGATATAAGTTATTCGTTCATAAAAGAAAAAAAAATCAGTTTACGCAACGTTTTATCTAGTAAAAATAAAAAAAAAAATAAAAGAAAAAAACACATTGGAAAAATAAGGTTACGGATGACCGGTATAGGTACACTTTGAAATTCATCGTATTCGTTTTATCGTCCGTAAAATCGCATTTAATGACATTCTATTCGTAGACGTTTAATTAAAAAAGACTACACACACACACACACACACACACAACCGACGAGTATACTGGGACCGGGTGTCACGGAAAAAATACTCGCGAAATAAATTACGACTCGATGAGGAGGGGATTTTTATTTTTTTTTTCATTATTATTATTGTTATTATTATTATTCAGTATGTCTGTCGTTTCGCGTTAAACGCGAATAATCGTAAAATTGTGTGAATATGTATATATATATATATATATGGGGATATATATTAATACGTTTATGAGGAAAAATATTTGACGTATCTTTGAAATCCGTTTTTCTCTTCTGTATCACAGTTTAACAATTCTCTTCGTATCATTGGACGTGTCGAGAAGCGCGGTCTAATCATGCTCGACACGAATGATCTATCGGTTGCCTTGGTTCATTGGAAATTATGATACCACCGATACGAATACCACCACCACCATCACCACTACCACCATTACTAACACCACCACCACCACCAATACAATTCGCATCCGTCATATCCCCTTTTATCATTCACGTTCGCGAATAATGTTGAATCAACGCTCCTGAATAAAGATTTATAAATTGAACGAACAATTTGATGTGGAAGAAAAATTGTACAAATTGTCTGACGAAATAATACAACTAGCTTTTGTCAACTATATTTTCATTTTTTCTTTATAATATTAAATAAATATATTAATATAAAAAAATACGATAAAAGAGTTTTTATACGTATATTTGTAACACTTAATGTTGATATAATAAATAATATTACTATTAATATTATTATTATTATATATAACATATATATGTTTTATTTTGTTAGTTGTAAAATTTCAGAAAGATCTTATCATCAAGATTAATGTTCATTTCGTTGGTTATTTGTTGTTCCAGGCGATGAAGATGAGCAAAGTGGGCAATCAGACGAATTCGCAGGACCCACAGGCAGTGAATTCCCGGGTGTTTGTCGGCAATCTAAACACGTTTCAGTGCAGTAAGACCGATGTGGAGCGAATGTTTCAACGTTATGGCCGTCTAGCCGGTAGGTTTGCTATTTCTCTCTCTCTCTCTTCCTGTTAAAATCACATAAATGATAACCGATGTATCTAAAAGTACACGTGTCTCTCTCTCTCTCTCTCTCTCTCTTTCTTTCTCTCTTTTTCTGCTGTGGATGTCATCTCAAACATTTCTCATTTGTCAAATTTTCAATCGAATTAGAAATAAATTTCTAAGCTTGATAATTATTTAATCAGTTAAGTATGTTTGACGACTATATCCGTCATGAAAGAATGGCAGAATTTTGTGTTTTTTCACGGCTATATCCGTCATGCGTAAAATTTTGATACAATTTGATATTTAAATTGTAATTCTGACGAAAACTAAATTATATTAGTAAATTTTAATATGTTTAGAATGTTTAGGGGGTCAGGACGAAATGAAATAAACAAATGAAACATTATAGATAATTTGAGTTGGACACTAGATCTTTGATTATCCCGATTTTAATCTTGACTTAACATAACCAAAAAAACAAAGTATATTAGATTCTCCATTTGCGATGATGTCCTGGATGTCTAATCAAAGAAGACAAAAACAAAAAATTTTGTTTGTTTGTTTGTTTGTTAAATATTTGATTTTTTTTTTTAAGTTTTTCGTTAATTATGTGTAAATATAGCTTTACGTTGATCCATTGTTTAAATATTACTTATAAATTCATTCATTTTCTAAAATAAAGTCGTCTTTTTGACCGAATATTTCAACAGCTCCACTTATTCTGTGTTTGACGATTATATCCGTCATCGCTTGATTATCGCGACACTTGCAAAATGATCGACACAGTTAACTGGTTAAATAATTATTTTACAATATATTTCTCACATTCGTACAATTATTGATTAATTTAGTGTCTTCACACAATCATTACAACTACTCGTTAATTTCTTATTGCTTTAACCATAATAAATAAACAAATTGAAATGACAATAAATTTAAGAAAATATCGAGAAGACAATTGGACAACACGAGTCTGACTCGTGTTGTTCATATTTTGTCGAAACGAATTACCACGAGTCTGACACGTTTTGTTCATATTTTGTCCCAATGAATTACCACGAGTCTGACTCGTGTTATCAACGTTTCGTTGTTCGAAACGAATTACCACGAGTCTGGCACGTTGTTCTAAAACAAAAAATTACTAATCATTTCGTCGTTTTACTCGAACGTAAGTGAATAAAATCTGACGAAATCGTCAATCGTTCATCGGGGACATTAAGGGAATAACAATGAGAAACGGAACACAAAAGTTACAAATGGTTCGAAATTGATAGGATTCGAGAGTACGGATTCGAGAAGAAAATAGACGAAAAAGAAAACAAACAAACAAAAAAAAAAAATTACCGAAGAAGAAGAGTTCCCGGACTATTATCCGTCGTGAAAACAGAGAAAGAGAAAGGGCTGGGAAATGGGAAGGAAAGGGGGTGGAGAGGAAGGAAGAAAAGCTCCGGTTACAACTACGTGGAAAATAGAGAATTGGAAATAGGATTTGTTCGGATCCGCTTCGTTGTCGGTAACCCAATTTGTAGGAGCTCGATGGAGCTCCTTGACCTTCGATATCCTGATTGATTATCCCTCCAGTTTCAGGACAGCGATTACCGCTGACTCGTTTCACGTACCACCAACCGCTGCTATCTATGGCTTTGGTGTACCTTTGGTAAAAGAGTGGTGGTGGTACGTACGTACGTACGTACGTACGTACGGGTTTGTCCCGTTAAAGGAAGATAAATTAAATCTTCCATCGAGCCTCTTTCTAACTAGACGTTCGATCAATGTAATTATCGATTAGATAAAAATCTAATCGATAAATCTTACATTTATCTATTTCAATCACATCAAATTACTAATTTTTACAATCACCATTTAACTATTATTAAACATAATAAACCATTATACATGGGAAAACTATTAAATCATTTAAAAAACAAACCTATTATATTAATTTTATCAAAATTTTCTAAAGAAACGTGAAAATCTGTTTTTGGTTTTTTTTTATTGTACTTACAAGGAGACTTTATGGTTGTGACCTCACTGATTTTAACGAGCTTTGGTATATTAATAGTATAACTTTAGAGTTTTAACGTGGTAAAGTATTTTATCAAAATGCTTTTAAGGTTTTGAATTTTTTGTATACATGTTTATATTATCTTAAATGCAACTGTTTATTAAGTGGCGCGCTAGCGTAAGTAGTAGCGTACTCGCTTCTCGTTTTGCTAGTTAGTGGTTCGATTATTCATCGGGGGAAGTTTTTTCTATTTGTTTTCAAATTGTTTTTTCATAATTCCTAATTTTTAAATATATATAGGAAAGAGAAAATTATTTATTACAAAAAAATTAGAAATAATATATTTTTTAATATCTTGCGTAAATAATGAAGAAAAATCGATTACTTGAATTACAGTTAACATTTTATTTTTTAACAGTTATATGAAAATAGATAAATCTTTAATATACTAACAAATAACAATTTTATATATTCTAATCATTAACTATTTCATGTGTAATATACTTGTTAACTGTAAATGTTAACTGTAATTAAAGGATTAAATTTTCCTCTATTATTTGCGCAAGATGTTAACAAATTTATTATTTCTAATTTTTTTGTAATAAATAATTTTCTTTTTCCTGTATATATTTAAAAATTAAGAATTATGAAAAAACAATTTAAAAACAAATAATAAAAGGTTATTAATAAAAACCTCCTCTCCCCAAAGAAGAATCGAACCCACTATAAACTAACTAGCAGCACGAGAAGCGAGTACGCTACTACTTACGCTAGCAAGCCATTTAATAAACAATTGCATTTAAGATAATATAAACATATATACAAAAAAATTCAAAACTTTAAAAGCATTGTTCTCAAAATTAGCTTCACATTTTGATAAAATACTTTACCACATTAACACTCTAAAGGTATACTACTAATATACAAAAGCTCGTTAAAATCCGTGAGGACACAACCGTAAGGTCTCCTTGTTAGTATAGGTACTCGCGTTATACGTCAGAAAAAAGTCAAGTCCGGTTTCTAGTTTCGATACTTTCGAAAGGCTTTCTTTATCTACTTTTCCTTCTCTCTCTCTCTCTCTCTCTCTCTCTCTCTCTTTCTCTCTCTCTCTCTTTCTCTCTGAAGGGGTTCCTTGAAAAGTCAAATCTCAAGAGAATGAAAGAGAAAGATAGAGAAACTGGTAGTGAGTTGTGAGATCAACGGGAAATACTATGACGACGGGAATGGCTGGGAGTTGCCGATAAACAGCTTACTTTCGCGAGCTTTCTCAATAAACTTCGGAGAAGGGTAGACAATGTGGTGGGATGAGGAGGGGTGGTCAGAGGTCGGGGGTTGTCCTAAAGAGAAAGAGAAAGACAGAAATAGATAGAGAAGAAAGGAGGGGGCTAGGTGGGCTTTTCCTTTCTATATGTGTTTATCTATGTGTGTGTGTTTTGCTCGCACAATGCGGCTGTGGGCAACTTCATCCTAGCTTGAGTTAAGAGAATTAGAACGGTTTCGATCGAAGCAACATCCTGGAACAGGATACGGTGGTGGATCCTTACTTTCCTACCGATACCACCGGTCAGCCTGGCATCGTTTCGGGATCGTGTTCTAGGATCATGTTATGCTATCCTACCTTGACACGCCTCTTCTACTCGTCCAACGGATTGCGGGATTCCAAAGCTTCGACCAATCGGGAGTAGTAAAAAGATTCCTAGGATCAGGCTCGCTGAATTTATCCTTAGATCTCAAATATCTTATCTATCGAACGACCCTCAAATCTCTCTCCGTCAACCCCCCCTTCCTTCTCCTCCTACCTATTGAGCATTATATTTTCATTCGAACGATTGATCGATACACGTGGTGTATATGTGGGTGTGTGTGTAAATAACACTGCAAGGATATAACGCTGGATTTGCGGCTATTCTTTTTTGTTCCGATTTCTTTTGTTCTTTTTTCTGGTTTTATTCGAATTTAGGATTATTATTTATTTCGTGCTTCTCTTTATTTTTAATCGTATTAATTTTTTGTATGTATATATAGCATCGTTTATAATTAAAAGTATCGTTTTTCGAAAATCGTTTGAATACGACATTTGAATAGGTTTAGGTTTTAAGTGTTAGATTAGTCTATCGTTGTTGTGATCTCTTATGAAAATAGAATTATCGTGTTATTGATAAATACATTTGCAGAAATTATTGCATCTTTTTTTTTTTCTTTTTTTTCTTCTTTAGCTTCTTATAGAAATATGTGTACGAATACAATTTTGACATAATATGTATCTTATATTTTTCTTATTTTAATAATTTAAACAATTTATTTTAAATGATTCGTAAGTCTATTTTGCAGCATGTATAAATATACGTTATTTTAATATAAAATTAACCTAAAATAAATTGATATTAATATTAAATTACATATTGATAAATTATTATTTGAAATATTACCAAATGTAACATAAATAATTAATATTTTACAATCGACCAAACCGATATGCAAACCTTTCAGTTTTTTTTGGTTCAAAACAACAGAAAATGAAATTCACCATTAATTTCAAATTAAACGTTCCCAATTATTTCTGGAAACTTGATTTTCATTCAAATATTACGAAATCATTGAACATTTGTTTTGAAAATAATCTGATATATATATATATATTATACGATATACACATATATATACATATATTTTATTAGAAATTATTAAAATAAATTTATATTAGAATCGATTTTATCCCCCTTCCTTCCCACCCCCCATCCCCTATCAGCAATGTTGGTATCTAACGAGGAACGTTTAAAATAGTATTAAAATAGTATGCACTCGTAGTCTGTCCTTCCAGGCCAACGGCGAATTACGTTTCGTGATGCGAATAGATAACGTGGGACACACGATAGAATTTTATGTAGGATGTCCAGTAACATTCATGGAGATCCAGTAACTGAAGGGAACAAAAAAAAATAACGTACAGAGAGTGAGATGGATAGAGGAGAAGTTGGGAGGGG